CCCCCCCCGCCGCCGCCCCCGCCCCCCGCCGACACTGATCCCGCGGCGAGGGCGTTCAGGGTTCCTCGTGGCGCCTGAGCCTCGGAGTCGCACATGCTGCTCAAGACATGTAGGGCTCCCTTGCACAGTAGACACGCCTAGAAATAGGATGACGGTGGTGGGCGGAACACACAATCATCAGTGCGCAGTCGGTTCTTGTCAAGCACTCACACTCCATCAATCACCCCACGCACTGTATTAATCTTGTTGTCGGACACACTACATAGCACACCTCTTGCATGGGAAAACAAACCAACACAATCACACCACCCTCTTACATCGGACAAAAACCAAGCACGCCCGCCAGCCCTGTGGGAACAACAAAACTAACCAATAAGCACACAGTCCCCAACCCAAACCTCTTCTGTAGGAAAGCGTTCCGCCAGCAAGGCCGACGCCTGCACCCCAAAGGCCCTCGCCTCCCAAGACTGCTGAGCCATCACGTCGCCGAGGTGCCGGGTCGCCCCACGGGAAGCAGGCACCTGGTTTTTCCCGGACATAGAGGAAGAGGCGTGACATTTCTCGCAGGCGCGCAAGCGGCAAACGTCATCGAGAGGCACGGCTAAGGAAGACCGGCGATCAAACACACACAACTGCACAACCGGCTACCAAGTAATTCCTACTATTTACAAGCACGGCTCGGTTCGTGTTGTCTTTCGGGGGGCAGGCACGCAGGCACCCAACTTCGAAACCGCAAAGGTTTTACTGGAGAGCGGGGGGCTCAAAGTCCTCGAAATTTACAACAACAGCAGCAACAACAACAGCAGCAACAACAGCAACAACAAATCCCCTTCGCTTTTTCACACCAGTACCGATTGCCAATTAGGTGGTAGAGGCCGGTTCCGAAGTGAGTTCGACAAAGAAGCGCACAAACCGTACACGCGCCGCACGGCGAGCGGTACAGTACGAGTGCAATCGAATGGGATCCAAGTAGCTCACCCCATCGAGGAGGAGCTTGAGAGCTTCGGTCGGCAGGGTCTGTCGAAGCAGGAGGTGCAGCAGCGGTGGGCACTCGGAGATGAGGGTCTGAAGGAACTCGCAAACCAGCTTCCGGCACTGCAGAATACCGTGCCCCACACGGCAAGAACAAAAGCAGGAGCAGCAGCAGCAGCAGCAGCAGCAGCAGCAGCAGCAGCGGTGGCACAAAGACACCGACCGTATAGACGTACAGACAGAGGACGGAGGGAGAGTGGGACGGAGCGAGAGAGCGAGGGAGAGAGAGAGGGAGGGAGGAGAAGCACTTGACATCCTTCCGTGGCGCCCTTTGATGATGGTCCGCAAGAGGGCCGCCAACCAACACACGACGGGTACTCACCAGCACCAGAAGGGTGCTCCCACCAGCGCAGAAACGGAAGCACCCACAACACACAAGACACGCGAGCACGATAGTAAGCAAAAAACAGAGACCGGCCCCTCCTCAACTCCCAGAGTCGTGTTGCCCCCCCCCCCCCCCCCCCCCCCCCCCCCCCCCCCCCCCCCCC